TTTTACCTGCTGTCCAGTTCTTATAGAAACCTCTACTCCCTTCTGTGACTCAGGACTTCATGTTTTGGTTCACCAACCTTCTAACTCCAGGTTGTGGACATCTAGGGAGGCAGTGCTGAACTCCAAGCCAGTTCACTGACAGTTAATGTCAGCTGCTTTTTAGTGCAACATTTTTTCTTTCCTCCCTCCAGGTAACACACTAGTCTGAGTGCCTCGGTGATAGGATTCTGACCATGGCCTTGCTCAGCCAACTTACATTCTTCCACTTCTTTAAATGTCTATCATGAATCAGCTTACCCATTCGGTTTCTTGTTTTCTTCTTAAGTGGAAGATGAATAAAAGAGTGGAATTTCTGATCACCCTACCATAAAGCTAAAGCTCAAAGGAAAGCATGGAAAGGTGACTTCCGATGTTTGGGCTCTTCACTGACCAACAGATCACATTCATTTTAAGCATATGTCAGACCCAAACATGAAAACAGCCAAAATGCACATTAACATTTTAAAAAAAGTATTGATAGTGGCATGGTAATGAACCCAAGGAGATCCTAGGTCTTCCATGGGCAGAAAGTGACAAAGTCTGGTTCAAATGTTCCTTAAATCTCAGTCTTTGCCCATGAAGGGAAGGAATGAAAAAACAAAATTGAGGACTGGTACTGCGGAGGTGCCGATTAAAACAAATCAGAGAACATATATACTAGGCCATCATGTCAGGCAGGCTGCAATGCAAAGGCAGTGTTCAAAGTCTTCCCTTCACTGGGAGTGTGTAGTTGGCTGCATTGCAACAGGGTGAAAGCCACTTTCTTTTTCTTTCTTTCTTTCTTTTTTTGTCTTTTTTGAGACAGGGTCTCTCTATGCAGTTCAGGCTGGCCTTGAGCTCACTTTGTAGCCCAGGCTGGTCTTGAACTCACAACAATCCTCCCACCTCAGCCTCCCGAGTACTGGAATTACAGGTGTGAGCCACCATGCCCCGCTCGAAAGCCACTTTCAGGTGCTGGTAGCTTCCTTGTGACAGAGGACCGACCACCACTGGGCCACTCCTACCATGATGTCATAGAGCATTGGGCCCTACACAAGCCAGCTCACAAGCCACTATGAACAGAAAGCTTAGGTTTCCTAGTGATATTGATTCTTTACTAAAGATAAGTAACATGTGACTCCTCCATCTAGTTGACTCCCTTCCTATCACCCTTCTTCCATAACAGACAGCCTGAGTAAACAGAAAATGCCTCCCTCTTGACTCCTGCAGGAAGGGTTGTTGCACAGGTGATGACAGCCCACATCAACTACTGCAGGTGAGGACCTGGGAGTTTGATGTAGGCTGTCAAAGAGGACAGGAATAAAATAAGGAAGAAAAACTTACTGAAGGCACCGACAGGTGAGAGACCTGGACTATAAGGAAAGTACTCAGTGACAGAGAAGATGAGAAAACGCCACAATCAGTGATCCAATAGGGGATAATGACGCAGAAGCCAAAGCACTCAGAGACTGGCAGACACACTAGAGTTCTACAAAACCCAACAAGATTTCTGCGTGTTCATTTGACAAACTCACAGAATGGACAGCTCAGAGTAGACATATCTACAGAAGTAGATTTGCTACTTTAATGAGCAAAACCATTCCTGTAATACTTTAATGAAACCAAAAGGTAGACTATCATTTTAAAATTCTAGGGAAATTAAAATAAAACTCATAATTTCTTTGTCCTTGTGGCTGTTACTCAATGGTCAGATCTCCCATCTACCATCTGCTTCCTATCCCTCCTTCACATTCCCACTGGAGAAGAGGCCAATGTAAGGCTGATTCTTCGCTTTGTTCTCAGTAAAACAGGCAAACAAAACCTCACAAAAGTACAAACCCTACAACTGTCACTGAATAATGACCACAGGGTAAGGAAGATGAAATTAATGTGATCTCCAATGCACATTTGTTAATAATTGAGACAGTTCCCAGAACATTTAACAAATAAAGGAAAAAGAAATCATTACCTCCTTCAATCGATTTAGTAGGATCTAGTACTTCAGGATCTCATTGCCTAAGTGGGGGGATTTTCTCAACAAATGATAGAACATGGTGTATGGTTAATGCTGGTGTTTTATACTGTGTAAATGACAAATATTAACTTCTTATGTTCATAATGATGGCTACAATTTCACTAGCATTTTCCTTTTCAAAAGTTTTCTCTCTTTAGTTATAATTTATAAATCATAGTATGTACCCTTTTAAACTACACACTGTAGTATTTTCTCTTGTTTTTCATTGTATACTCACAGTGTTGCGTAACTGTTACAACTGTGTAATTCTGGATCAATCTTTACTCCCCCCACCAGAAGCCTTGAATCCAGGATGGGTCTCTCTTCAACCTCCTATTTCCTTATTGCCCAGAAACTACTAATCCACTTCCTGTCTCCATAGGTTTTTCTGCTCCAGACATTTCAACTCAGTGCAGTTGTACAATGCATGACATGTGGTGTGTGGCTTCTTCCACTAAGTATATCTTTAAGAATGACCCATGTTGCAGCATGGATCAGTACCTCATTCCTTTGTACTGATAACTATTATTCCATTGTACAGGTTACCACATTTTGTTTATCTGTTTATCAGCTGATGGGGAGATAAATGTTTTCTACTCTTTAGATAGTATGAATAATGCTTCCATTAACTTCTATGTGCAAGTTTTTTTTTTTTTTTTTTATTGGTACCAGGGATCGAACTCACAACCACCTGCTTGCAAGGCAGGTTGTTATGCTGCTGAGCTAAATCCCCAGCCCCCTATGTGCAAGTTTTTTGTGTGAATATATAATTTAAATTCTCTGGCCTATATGCATTAGATTAAAATTACAGAGTTATATTGTGACTCTATGTTGAACATTTTGAGGAACTACCAAGGTGGTTTCCAAAAGAGCTCCACTACAGTTCATTCTCACCCTGTGAAATTTCTCCACATCTATACCAACACTTATTACTATCTACCTTTTTATTATATCTTACCCATCAGTGGAAATTGATGTATCATTGAGGCTCTTCTTCATGTTTACCTAATGACTCATCATGCCAAGCATCTTCTCATGTGCTTACTGATCATTGGATGGTTTGTTTGGAGAAATGTTATTCAGATCCTTTGCCCATTTCTGAATTGGGACGTTTATCTTTATAGTGTTATATAGTTAAATATTTTCCAAACTTATTCTCTGAATTATTTTCCTAGAGAATCATGCTGAAAATTGTGTTCTACCTAGTTTACCTACCTTTGTTTAGGGAGTAAAGAGTATCATTACTTATTTGGGTAATTATTAGGCTGACACATTTATTGAGTACATACTTTGTTCCAGACACTTTGAAAACTTTACTCAGCTATTGCTAAAGAGAAGCCCATTGCTTGGGTCCCTAAATGTTCAGAAAAATAAGCAAAGCTGTTCCTGAGGAAAGCACTCGTGTGTTTCTCTTTTGAGACTGAAAGACATCCTACTCCCACCTTCTGCAAGGAAGCAGAATTAATAAGGCAGGTACTTCTCTTGGTAGGTAAAGCATTTTCAGGGCTTGAGATGTCTGGAATGAGTTAGTCAGTTTTAGATTCAAGAGATGTGCTTCACAATTCCATTTTGAATATTTGAAGTAAAATTATGAGTTTGTTTCCTGAAAATGCACCCAAGAGAATCTTTTTCAATTTGCTCTCTATTCTTTCTCGTAGCACAAAGTATGAACATGTTTACCAAGGAGGCAAAGGAAAAACCCCCACTAAGCAATCTGCAGAACAATACACAGCAGACAGTGGGTTCATTTTCTTAAACCAATTGTAGTAAAGTTAGCTCTGCTAAAATGTAGAGGCACTGGAGATCAGGAAGGTTATAAACCAAGAAAACACCTCCTAAAACTAACCAATCATCAGAAGAGAAAAGGCAAGGAGAGGCCTAACTTTCATAGCCCAACTTTTCCATGAATGGTAGTTAAATTCTATGTCCCCTCCTCTTAGGCCATACACACCCACATCCAGGATTCCTACTCCCTCCCTATTTCCTTCTTCTTCCCTTGGAAGTTGACCAACTCAAGCAACAAAACCAAACAGAGGGTACAATCTGATGTAACATCACCCCAAACCTTCGCTATATCAACTTCAACATTTCTAGAAATGCCAGTCTTTATCACACTCACACTCCCAAGATCTCAGCTAGCCCATCTAACATTCCCAGGAGGGTGATTTGGAGTAACCAGGGGATTGAATTATTGCCTCTAACTCTTCCCCTTGCTGGTTTTATCAGTGGAACCAGTGTCAAGTTACACAGAACTGTTCAGGGACAGGTCAAAACCTTTCACCTCTCACCTGGTAGGGCCACCAGCTCTACTACCACTTTCAACCAAGACAGTTTTGTGAGGCACCTCCCACAACCTAGTATACCATTACTCCTGCAAATAAGACCCAGAACAAAGGCTCCAATATACATAATTAAACCTAAGCTCCTGATGCCTGTATCGTCATGCCTACCAGAAATCCACCCAAGCCCTCAATTTCCTCTGGAAATTCTCCAGTGGAAGATTTATCTCTTGGAGCTGTCACACACTGCTCTGGGGAAACAAGTCAGGAAGGGTATCACGGGATTAACCATGGCCCTATAACATTTACAGGTTGAAGACCTTCCCCAGTACTTCAGAATATGACTGTCTTTGGACACGGGACTTTGAAAGCTGTGATTAGCAGAGGGGAGGGGCTTACTCCAACATAACTTGTGTCCTTATAAGAAGAGAGGAGATCTGGACATAAAAAGAGACATCAGAAGCTCGAATGCATTAAAACAGGCTGAGGACACAGTAAGGAAGTGGCCACCGGCAGGCATGGAGATATGCCTCAGAAGACATCACATCTGCCACCCCCTGACTTTGCACTTGCAGCCTCTGGCACTGTGAGGAATACCTTTCTATTGAGTCTCCTGGTCTGTGATATTTAGCACAGATACTCCACCAAACAGGCACAGTGGGGATCTCCAAAGGAAAGGAGCCACTCACCCTGTAGTAGTCAGTGCTGTATACATCCCGGGACATCCCAAAGTCACCAATCTTCACCAGTAGGTTCTCCCCAACAAGGCAGTTGCGGGTGGCCAAGTCGCGGTGCACAAAGTGCTGGGATGCCAGGTAAACCATGCCTGCGGCAATCTGCTGTGCGATGTGCAGCATCTGGGACTGGGTCAGCTCTGTGGGTGGGTTGCCCTCAGCCATCAGCACTGCATCAGGTCCGTGCGCCCTGGGGAAGACATAGAGGGAGACACAGCTAGAGCCTCAGCTCTGACCGGAGGGTCTATCTGCAGGCCTCACATCCAGTGCTGTCTGACTTAGAACAAGGAAGGACTAAGATGATTCACAGCACACTGCTTCATCTCTAAAGCTGCTAGAGCTCCTCATGGGTGGAATTTCAGGGTGGCAGGACCACTTCAATGCTGACAGGATTGTATTTGGGGGACTTCAGAAACCTGACCAGAGCCCCTGACTCCAGAAGCAGAAAATGGTCCCAGTAAAAGGAAATGCCGGGGACCCAGGCTCTCCTAAAGGCCAGAGCATCCCAGAATCCTGCAGATTCCATCCTATCCACCAAGCCTTGCATTACAGAGAGGCAGCACTGAGCCCCACACTGATCCCTCTGGGTCTCAGCACCAGTGCCAGAGCCTTCAGTCTACCTCATCTGTGGCCACAAGAGTTGTGCAGCTTCCTGCTGCCCAGGTTAGCAGAGCACAATGGTGTTCTTGGCCAGGACTTGCATGCTCAGTGACAACCACCACATCATCTGGACTACCCTCTTTATAGCCCTGTGCTTATTGTGTGCCTGGATAATACGTAGGAGAGCTCCTCTGAACCATTCACAATTATTCCCTTGCGTGGAGAAATCTATAATACAGTGTATTTTTTAAATCTTCTTTTTCTTCTGCTTAACATACCTGCCTTTTTCCCAGCTGTGTGAAGCTGGGGCCACTGCAATTCTCTCAGTGGTCAACCTTGTGGATACAGGGTATATCTCTTTTCCCATCTTTATTAGGCACAAGCTCCCTCTACAGAGCACTTTTCTTGTCTTTTTCTACCTTTAATAAATGTAAAATTGCACTGCTATTTGTGCTTGCCTTGACCAGTTCTCTGTTCAGGTCAGAAAGGACCTAGAAACCACTTACAGAAACCACTCAAACACAGCGACAGTATCAACATGGAATTTGAATCCAGGCCTAACACAGTTGCTGTGTGACTTGCGGTGAAATGACCTTCTTGGGTTTGTTTCTTCATTGTAGAAAATGAAGATACTAATTACCTGGTTGGTTTTGATGGTTTTGACATTAGAATGAACTGAGACTGTACAATGTTTCCCAGGCTTTCATTGGAAAGTCAGAAAAAAAGGCTTCCCCTGCTCCAAAAAGCAAAACATACAAACAAAAATATCCACTATTTTTTTAGAAAAAAATATGGACAGGTGGTAAGAAAAAACGAATGATGCCTTAGTAACACAAACTACTCTCTCAGGGACAGTTAATCAAGCCCAACTATTTAGAGCATGGCTGCCCTGATTTTGGCGACCTGACTGGGGGGACGCTTCCACATCTTAAATAGCCGCTTCCACTGACTGCACCCGGATTGTGAAGCATCCTTTTATTAGCTGATGCCTCTGGACATATTCTTGGAGTAGAAAGTCTTGCTCCAAAAGGAGGGCAGACCAGGCTTCTGAACTAGTTCCTAGGAGAAATATCACCAAAGTGCCACAGCAGCCTCTGCCTTCACTTTCAACATCATGGGAAGTGGAGACATGCTTCCCCTCTTCCCGGAGGACACTGCGACATGCTGCTCCTCTTCCAGGAGAGCACTCCTCAGGGTGGAGATGCCCTACTCCACCTGGAGCTGTGAGGAGCAGTGCCAAGGCCTGAGTAGGAGGCTCCTCAGCCTTCCATGGCCATTGTCCCCAGCATGGCTTGTAGGTACCAATTCTAAACACTGGTTTTTCTGGTATTCTAGAGCATACCACTTCCTTTCTGATTTTTAAAATTAATATAAGCTTATGTACTTCAAGATTTAAACTAATCAACTTATTGAAAGATAAGAATGATGTGTATTTGCAGATATAGTGGGATTTTTCCATACATGTGTACAATGTGTACTGAATTGAAAAGCTGTCACAGACTATGGACTTGGAAATCAGGAGTTTAAATCTGGTTCTGTCACTTTTTAACTGTATGACTCAGTTTCCTCCAATAAGTCATGGGAATCACAATGATATTTTATTAGATTTATGCTTGTTAACACATTTAAAGTGCTTGTAAATGTACACCATAAATATCAATTGAAATTTCTTGAAAACCACTTAGCTTTCTCCTCACTTGAGGAGAATTTTCAAGTGATTCTAAAAGGAAAAACTGAGCAGTTTTCCTTGGAAACAAGGATTGTGTTTTCCTCCTTTTTTACTACCCTACCTAGCACAAGGTCTGGCCACGCTGGGCTCAATATGAGCTTTTGGATGGGTAAGAAGGATAAAGAGATAACAGATGACATCTGTCTCTGTCAGGCAGTGCCAAGGATATGCGGGACCATACAGTAGCAGCTGTATGCCAAGTTTCCTCCCAATAGAGGACAGCCTATCCTTGTAGGCATCATTGCATCTTATACCTGAGCACTGTATGGCAGCACTCTTGTTACCAACATTTAGCAGATTCTGAAATCAAGCAGGGTAGGTTTCCAGCTGCTTCACACCCGGTGCAGGACACCAAGAAACAACCAGGTACCTTCTCCTTCAGAACTCAGGGAAGAGACAGGGAACTGCCCAGCAGAAACAGAAAATGAGAGAACCGCGCTGCAACTCATTACACACACATGCACATACACACACATACACAAACACACATACACATTATAACAATAAAAACAACACATATACACTAATGACTACTCAGAAGCATTTAACTGCATACAGGTGGATACTTGTGGATTATACTATAACTTTTGGAGAGGAAACTATGGCAGAGAAAAATAGTCCAGAGGATGATGGTTATGGGTTACCTTCCCCTACAACAGTCCTCACATTTGCTTTTGAGGGGCACATTATTACTCCTTTTAGAGGTAAGGAAACTGAGGCTAAGAGTGCAGGCAGACAGTCTGCCTCTAGTATCTTTCCTTTTTGTTCTAAGTTATCCCATTTACCAAGGTACCCAAGGCAGCACTTTCTAAGGTGAGAGCCTGCCAATATTTAAAGGAAATACATTTTAGAAACAGATAAGACTTAAAGAGGATCTGCCTTGGGCTCCCTTGAGGGCAGACATCAGTGAAAAAAGTAAGCTATATGTCCACATATGAGATGCCAGCAACTGATGTAGGAAAGGAAGCCTCTTCCCGGGCCTCCCAGTTCACTACTGCGACTTCTTGAGTCTTTCACTTCCTCAGTTTCCATGTATCACTTCCATTTGTGCCTTAGATTAATAGAAATAAAGATATTACTTGACTTCTTGCACTATGGGGTTCCTGGCTCAGTGTGCTTTCTCTCTTCCCAGGATGAGAAGGTTCACTGTGGGCCACCCCAGGATGACCACCAGTTTCTTCTAGCTTATCAAGCCCAGCTCCTCTTGTGACCTGCCTCACCAAGGCAGCTGGTTTATCACTGCCAGCAGAAGCCAAGTGTCTGCCTAATGTGTGCATTTTGATTGCACCTGTGCTGGAAGACCTCTTTATTCCTTCTAGTGCCACTCTCATGCCACCCTGCCAGCTCTATGCTCCTTCTAGGGAAGCTGAGATATTTGACTAGGAGATGTGAAGCTCAGATTCACTTTCACCTGTGACTGGGGACAAGTTCTTGTTCATGCTAACCAGTACACTGTCTCCTCAGGAGTCAGAGCCTCTTGTGTTGTGGAAGTTGGCTTTGCTTTGCAAAACAGCTTTACTTCTGCTTCAGGTGGGTTATGATCTCTGTAAGCTGCTGGCTTACAGAGCCTGGCTTACCTGGCTTACCTGGCTCCGGACCACCTCCTCTCCACACCAGAGAGAGGGGACTTCCTAAGAAGCTGAACCCAACTCGACTGGACTAATGCTAGGGATTTAAGTGATGTTAATCCTATTTAATAACACGACGACTCCCTTTGGTGGTCATCACTTTTCTCTTCCTGACTGCCTTTCTTCTAGAGACTGGGTACTGTGAAAGCTCGCAGGTTGAAGCTGTTTGTGTTTTCATGACCTTGAGGTCTCAACAATACCTGTGATCCAGAAGCTTCAGTGGCTCCATTATATGTTGTTTCACCTCTTCATTTTTCCCTTTGAAAGCCTTTTCTTTTTTGGGAGCATTGTCCTTTCTACTGTATATCCCCTGAGCTATGGACCTGCTCATCACACAATAAAGCCCAGGCAACACCCTTGCAGTGCTGAGCCCCGCTGCTCTTCGCTATGCCTCTCCCCTGGTTCATTGTATATTCTGCTGACCCAGACTCCTCACTCCCACCTGGCCACACCTTTCCTAGACACTTCTGGTACCATGGCTCTTATAGTGTCTTGGGCTTTGAATAATGTTCTCTTGTCCACTTGTAAACCTTCACAGACCTGCTAAAGCACCCATCTCCAGAGCATATGCCACATAATACGATACACGCTCCTTACTTAGAGCTACTTGCTTAGCTCTAATCTTAACTGGAAAAGAAGACAGTGTGGCCTCTTTCTTCTGTTCCTTTCTCTGGCATCTGTGAAGACAGTTATTAGGAAGGGCTATTCTAAAGAGAGGAAGGTTCCCCTTCGGGAACTCCCTGTCCATGCTTGCTGACTGTTGGAGCTAGAAGTCAGCACTCTCTTCAAACCCAGCTTCCCTTCTGGCCTCCATTACCTAAGGAACTTGTTCAGGTCCCCATGCTTCATGTACTCAAAGACCATGATGAGTGGGTCGCCTTCCACACAGACGCCATAGAACTTGACAATGTGTTCGTGCTGGAGATTGGTCAGCAGCTCAGCCTCGCGGTGGAAGTCCTTGCGTGCATTGTCGCTGGCATCCTTTAGTGTCTGGGGAAGAGATGCAGAGGAGGAGAAAAGTAAAACTTTTTAGCCCATAGCATCAAAGGGCAAACTGATCAACAAAGAATTTCATCAATGGATCCTAAGAATTCTAGAAGAGAAGGGCATTTATCTCTTTTATTGCACAAAAGATGAGACAACAGCCTAATTCCTCAGGAAATAATGATTAATTAATAATTAAGCTATTCCTTGGGTGTAGGCAGTGCTTTACAGAACACCAAGCACTTTCACAGATGTTCTCTTGTTGAGTTACAGATAGGAGCTCATTTTGCAGTTTGCACATCTTTTAGCTCCAACCTGAACCTGGGTTTACCATGAGCTTCCTTCTTATTTTGTCCCTTTTAAGCTGCCTATGAGGATGTATGAGGCTCACCTCTGTCCAAAGAGCCTTCATAAAATCTTTATCTGATGAAAAGACTCAGAAAAAAGAAAAATATAATGAGACTTCCTGGACTATCTTCCCACTTCAGCAAGGATTGCTTTGCCAGTCTCTGTATAACATGCTAAAGCCTTCTCCAGCCTGTGTCCCTCCACACAGGTGGCTCAAGGAATGTCCCCATATAGTGAGCTTCGAGAAGAGGGGTCACATTGCCAAGATAAAGAAGCCCAGATGCATCTCAGCTTGACTCAGTTTTCTCCAGATCTCTGCTCAACCACTAAGCTACCGTGGGGCTTATGTTGGTGTCACACACAAAGGCTGAGACGTTTCACAGGCCATCATCAAATCAGAGCTGCCATGGAATCAAGAAGACACTGGTCCCAATCCTGACTCAGACACTCATGGACAGATGAGAATATGAGACAAAAAATAACTGTAAGTCACACTCAGAACCAATGTCCTGAAACCAGCTCCTTGGCACCTTCAGCCAGAGTGATCACTGACATTCCCCTCTCAAAATGAGTACTTCTGCTCTGTGAGACCTGCATCTGCACAGGTGACAATGAGCTGGGCCTCCCTACCTTGCATATTCCTCTCTTTGAGATGACAGCTCAGGTGCCCTTCTCATATTGGGGATTGAGTAATGCCCTATCCCAAAGGCTTCCATAACCTGATCCCCAGAATCCGAGCACTAGGTGCCTTCCTTGGTAAAAGAGACACTGTAATCTGATTTGTTAAAGATTTTGATGTGAGCAGATTAGTCTTATTTAGTTGGGTGAGCCCAGCACCAAACAAGAATCCTCATACATGCAAAGATAGAGGAGATATAAGGACAGAAATAGAGGTGTAAAGGGAGAGATGATGCTATGTTGCTGACTTTGAAGGAGGAGGAAGGGACCACAAGCTAAGGAATGTGGGTAGCTTCAAGAAGGTGGATAGACAAGAAATCCTAGTACTTTCAGAAGGAACCAACCCCACTGACATCTTGACTGGAGCTCAGTAAAACTGATTTTGGACATCCGACCACCAAAAATGTGAGAGAATGAATTTGTGTAGTCAGTGAGCTTTTAGTAACTTGTTAGAGCAGCCACAGGAAGCTAACTCATGTCTCTAACAGCATACCTGCAGGACTTAGCTGCCCATCACTTCACTAGGAAGTCTTACCTAACTACCTGTGACCACAGTCACAACCCTGTGGCTGCGTGAGCCCTTCTTGAGTGACTTTCCTAGATGTACTTCACACTTCTGTCATATTACTGGTCATTATCATCAACAACCATACAGCCTGACTGTGTTGACTTGCTTGCCTGTGTATAGACTGAGCTTCTCTGGTCTCCATACCTTTATTTCTACATTGCCAGCCCTGAACACTGCACAGGAAATATGGTGTGTTTTATTCAACAGGTGCTTGTGAATCAATGATACGGGTCATAAAAATCAAATGTTAAGAGCAAAAGAGTTCAAAAGGGGAACAGTTGCTTCCAACTAAGAGACAAGGATAAGGGGCACCTGAGGTGTCTCCCGGTAGAGGTGGCATGTGAGTGTGTGAATCTCTCCTCCAGAGAGACTGCAATAGGTCATTGTCACAGTTGATGGAGAACAGGGACATACACATTCCCTCAAATACGACATTAGAACAGGATGGAAGTGCTGGCACTCATTGAATTCATATGACTGCTGAGCTCAAATGTGCATTTAATGTCCCAGAACTCTGCCATGTGCCTGTCAGTCACTTCCAAAGTGGCTCCTTCTGGGGAAGTATCTGAGCTGGGTCACCGGTGAACACACTGATAACTGAGAAGGAGGTGAGTGGCAGGGGGTGAGGGTACATTTCTCACAGTATGTGTCAGGGTCCACACCTGAGAGGTTTGGCAGAGGTGAAGCTGATCTGTGACACCATTTCAGCAGAGCCTCCTCTAGCCAATGGGATGAACACACAGAGCTGTCTGGAGTGAGCAAGTCACTGGATGGGGACAGCTTCTGGAAGGGAGGACAAGCATGGGTGGAAGTTCCAAGGTCTTTTAGGGGCCAGACAGTGAGACTTCTCCATTGTTTATCCCTGAGTCCACTGCATCATGAATTTTCAACATAAAGAGGACATCAGTGTATGTGCAGGGCCTGCTAAGGCAGCCCCAAGAAAGCCTTAAGAAGGTAGGGGCCAGGCATGGCCACCAACTGCTGTTGGTGGTCACAGTGCCCGAGTCCTAACTGCCTGTTCAGCAGTTCTCTTGCCATTGGTGACCTGATGCATAAAGGCACAGATCACAGGCATAGCCTCTGCTAGGTCCGTGGCCATGGCTTCTTGAGCAGGTTCTGGAATCACTTTGCTACCTTCCCTTTGGCACATGGTTTCTAGAAGAGTCTTGACAAGTGCATAGGCTCTGCTTTGGAAACTGAGTGGAGCTGGATTCTCCAGTGCTCAGAAAGGCATAAACGCTCGTGCACCATTGCCATGGAAATAGCACAGGTCGTCATTTAACAACAAAATGACTGGTGGCTGAGATCTGGGGTCTGGATCTTTCCCTTGACCCTAAAGAGACAGAACTTGTCACAACTGCTCTGCCTCCAGATTTAGTTTAGTTGAATTCAATTTACACAATTCTTTGTGTCCCTGTTTTTAGGAAGGGGAAATATGCTTATCTTAACAGCTTTATTTAGGTTGGTTTTACTCATGAACATGCTTTTGGTGAGTGTAAAAAAAAATCTCCACCAACTGTTTTGGTGAATTTCTTAGTTGTAAAATAGCAGATGCGACAAGGAGATGGAAAGGGAAGAAATGGAGACATGTATTGTTATCAGCCAGGTCCTTTCCCTGGGCTCACAGGACAAAGCACACACACAGCATGTCTCACATGTGACTTGCATTATGGTTTGGATGTGATTGTCTCCACTGCTCACCTTTGAATGTGAAAGTGTGTTCTAGTCTTCCTTCTATTAAAAGTGCCAGGCAACTGAATAACTCCTACCATACAAGGTGTGAACAAAGTAATGATAAAGAATTCTAGAAAGGAATGGAAGTGAACCATCATCTGAAAAGGCAGAATGTGAATCCACCTAAGAATTGGAAACTAAGAAACAGCCAGAAAAGGACACCAGGCAAAGGACCCTGATTCTTGGGCTGAGGGCGACTGTCCAAAGTACTCTTATGGAGGCTGGGACCAAACCTCCATTCTCCTTCTGGTCGAAGTACAAATCCTCCTGGAAATAGCTTAGGGTTGAAAAATCCAGGTTGAAACCTTGGCTCTGCCTTAGAACTCTTTGAACTCTGGGTTACTCCCCTCTACAGTGAGGGTATCTGTATCACTCACCAGCCCAGGTCACTGGAAGAATGGTGGGAGTTGTGTCACTTAAGATGTCTCTACCAGGGTCCTTGAGAGAGAAGGACATTTATGTGACTTACATTTGCAACCTTGCTTGTTTTCAATTTGTTCATATAAGGGTCGTCAGAGACCAAGGGATCAGGCACAGAGACCAGCCCAAGGCATGAGGCAGTGGTGTTGACAGCCAGTGTCTTTTTCCACTTGGCAATTTATCTCCTGAAAGCGTCAAGCCACATCTGGAGATTCAGTCATTGGTCTACATCTCTGCCTGAGACCTATTTACTTCATCCAGTTGCTGGTCTGAGATGCAGAGATAGCTTCCTTCTATAGCCTTGACCAGTGAGTTGGAAAGGTGTGGATCGACACAGGTCATTCTTACAAGGCATGAACAGACCCTGCATGTAATTTTTCTGTTCAAGTTTTAGCTGTATAATGTAGAGCTGAGAATGCTAGTTTGTATGTGTAGGGTAGCGTAAGAAAGAGAACAAGGTTTTCTTTCTGGAAGTATCAATCAGAAAAATTAATAGGCAATACTTCCTTGCCCCCATGATAAATTTCTAAGGAAAGTGGCCTGCTTAATGCAATGTCAACTATTGTTCTTCGGTAACATTTTTTCGCACGTAAGAGAGATTTTACTATTCATAGGGGAAATGTATCTCACAAACCTGACCTACTTCTATATGCCTATCCATTTTTGTATGTTGGGTCTTTTTTCTACATTATGACTCAATTCTATTTTAAGAGATTCAGAAAAATATGGTGGTAAAATCTCAGGCAAAATCATCTCCTAAATTTGGCAGTCTGAGAACAGAATTTTTAAAGGGTAGAACCACAGCCAGACAGCAGCTTCCCACCCTGACTTGCTTCACTTCGGTCTGATGTTAGCAGGCATATTCACCTAGCCACTGAACACTGCTGGCTTCTTACTCCTGCTGACCGCCTTGTGCCTTCATTTCTTTTGTTGGTGGTGAATTTCCTAAGACTCAGAATCTGCCATCCTTTCTGAGCCCCAGGTAGAGATCTCATCCAGAGCTACACAGTAAGATTACCTGGAGTATGTGTCTGTTTACACCTGGAGTTATGGAGTAGCACGAGATAAATTCCAGCACAGAACTGAGGAGCTAGTGAAGGTATAAGTAAGAGAAAAAAGGAAAATTGAAATTAAACCAAATTATGGAAGCAAAATACCAAGGTCAATGAGAAGCTTGAGAGGCAAGAAGCCTTGTCCAAAATAATGATGTAAGAGGATATTGAAGACAACAAAATGATGCTTGAAAATACAGCTGGTT